AGGATGTGTGTTGAGATAGAAAGAGAGAGAGAGAGAGAGACAGTGATTTTGTGGAGTGGGCTTACATGATTTTGCAGGCTTGGCAAGTCCAAAATCTGTAGGGAGGCTGGAGGCCCAGGGAAGAGCTGCAGTTTGAGTCCAAAAGTGGTGTGCTGGCAGAATTCCTTCTTGCTTGGGGAGGTCAGTCTTTCTCTATTAGGTCTTTAACTAATTGGACGAGGCCCACCCAGATTATGGGGAATAATGTGCTTTATGTGAAGTCTACTGATTTGAATGTTAATCTCATCTTCACAGAAACATCTAGAATAACGTTTGACCAAATATCTGGGTACCATGACTTAGACAAGCTGACACATAAAATTATCCACCACATGCCTCTAGCCCAGGCTGTGGAGATGAGCAGGCAGGGCAGGGCTGAGTGGCATGATGAGCAGGTGTGCGGCTAGGCCGGGTACCATGACTTAGACAAGCTGACACATAAAATTATCCACCACATGCCTCTAGCCCAGGCCGTGGAGATGAGCAGGCAGGGCAGGGCTGAGTGGCATGATGAGCAGGTGTGCGGCTAGGCCAGTGCCTCTCTGCCAGCCAGGGAAGGAGCTGAGGTCCACCCGGCATGTGAGTGGTTATTGCCAGGGTCAGGTGCACACAGAGGCTATGTGCTCATTTTCCAACCCGAATCCAGGAGGAAAAGGCCATTTAGATCCCAACAATGTTGGCTTCCTGTGTTCCTGAGAGGCAGGAAGCCACCCTAGGACAGAACACCAGCAGCCCAGCTGAGGCGGGAGTCAGGGCCAAGGGCTGGGGTTGGGGGTGCAGTCTTCTACCCCAGCAGGTTACCTAAGCCCTTCACTCCCACTATGAGGCTCTCTGCTACCTCGCAGCCCACTGCTGGGCCCTATTGTGTGGGGGCAATGCTTGTGCCCAGCGGTGGAGATGGGGTGCTGGGGTCTCCATGGAGCTTTGGTTTGACAGGGTAGCTCCCCCAGGGGCTTCATCTTGCAAGGTGCTGGCTCAGGAGAAGGCTGTAGGCAGGTTTGTGATTTTGGGGCCTTTTGTGGGAGCTGGGAGGACACAGTCTGCAGAGGTGGGACTAATCCTGAGAAGTGTATCTGATGAGACACTGGAGGTGTTTGCACTGGAGGAGCTTGGGGAGGGGAGGACTCAGACATCTGACGGACGCCTGGAGAGGGCGAGGCTGAGGTTTTCCTGCCCTTGTTCCTCTCTGTCCACCCCTCCCCCATGAGAATAGTACCCTGTGGAGGGAGCACCCTTGTTAACTAGAGGCCAGTTGTTTCCCCAGCAGCATGTGGGATGTGTTTGGGTTGGAAACTGGATTTTCTCTCTTTCTTGGTTGGAGGGAGGAAGAAGTGGGTGCTGACTCTGATGGAGAGTGTCTTAGTCTGTTTGAGCTGCTATAACAAAATACCTTAGCCTGAGTGTTTCATAAATAACAGAAACATTGCTTACAGTTCTAGAGGCTGGAGGTACAAAATCAAGGTAACAGCAGATCTGGTGTCTGGTGAGGGCCCAATCTCTGCTTCCAAGATGGTGCCTTATTGCTGTGTCCTTTGGAGGGGACGAACACTGTGTCTTCACATGGCGGAAGAAACAGAGGGGCAAAAGGAACAATCTCACTTTCTCAAGCCCTTTTATAAGGGTCCTAACCATCCGTGAGGGTGGAGCCTTCATGGCCTAATCACCTCCCAAATGCCCCGCCTCTTAATACTATCACGTTGGGTTTTAGGTTCCAACATATGAATTTGGGAGGGACACATCATTCAAACTATAGCAGGGAGACTGGCTGGGGTTATGCACAGGCTCTTACAGCTGGAAGAAGGCTTGGAGACCATCTGTTCCAGGGGGTGTAAATGCAACGGCTTTCAGGGTTAGGCAGGCATGTGTGTGTGAGACAGCAGGACATGGTGGGGACCCCACATCTGGGGACCTCTGGAGAGAGCTGCTTTGCTCAATGCATTCCAACTAGGGACAAAAGTCTTGGTGTTTTAAAATGCAGAGCTATCTAATGAAGGCAAGCATGCAGACCCAAGTCACCCTGGAGGCTGCCAGTCAGGGTAGGAGTCTGAGATTGAGAAAGGGGGAGTGACTTGCTGCAGGTGATACAGCTATATGATAGCAGTCAGGACTAGACCCCAGGGAGATGGGGCTCTTCCATATAACAACAGTGATGAGCAAGGTGATGAAGAGGCTGCTGACAGCAGCTGACCCTTATACAGGGTGTACTCTGCACCAAGCACATATAATATCAACTCGTTAATCCTCACAGCAACCTATAACAACAGTGATGAGCAAGGTGATGAAGAGGCTGCTGACAGCAGCTGACCCTTATACAGAGTGTACTCTGCACCAAGCACATATAATATCAACTCGTTAATCCTCACAGCAACCCTGTGAGATAAATGCTGTTATCACCTCCATTTTACTGATGAGTAAATGGAGGCTCAGAGTAGTTAAGTAACTTGCCCCAGATCACACAGCATCTGAGCTGAGTGCCAGTTTGCATATAGCCAGGTGGTGAGTGGGTAGATGAATAGCAGGACCAGTAGAAGAGTGGATGAAGGATAAGCGAACTCCCTCCCCCACCCCCCGCCCCCGCCGT